GGAATATTCATGAATGATCCTTTAGATAAGTTTCATCTCAAAAGCCCTGCACCTACCTCTGTCAAGTCTGGGCTGCTCAGTCCGCATGAGTTGGATGTGAAAAAAGACCCGGGATGATGGCTTCTCCGAATTTACCAGAAAGAAAGGACCTGGGATGCTTGTCCTTTAAGTGTCTCTAAACATGGTTTGCATAGCTGGATCTCTGCTTATCTGTGCCTTTCGGCTTTCGCTTCCATACATGGATCTGTTCCCAACAGTAACTCCAAGCTGTGGAAAAGAAGCTATCTGGCAGCTCTCCGCTTCATCCAACACATGGACGATAAAAATACACATATAGAGATCCTTCCAGCCAGGCCCAATTCCCACCCTGCCGTCCTGCCACTATGCCTTTTTGGAAATACACTTTCAGATTGGCATTTCTACTCCCCAGACGTTTAGAGAACAACCACCCTTCCCCTAATTCCCACACAGGGCTTTTAGGATGTGGGTTTGCTTCACTTTATGAAAACAGAGGCACAATTATAGTTCCTTACCAGGGTTTTCATCCTTAAAGATTTTAGCAATCAGATATGTACAAGACCTGCACAATGTTTAGTGAATGGATGAACATATAAATGAATGGTTAAACGAATGGACACTGTATGTGAATGAATATGATACATATTTATTGTATTTATTTAATTAAGAGTAGTTGTTAAAAAAAATAAGAGTAGTTAACATTCTGAATTATTTGTCTTAAAGGATCGGGTAGGACCAGAAGGTCAAAGTAATCAAAATCCCTAAGACAGAAGGAGAGGCCTTGTTCTTTCTTAAACAGCTGCTCATTTAGGATACGGTGGCAGTTTCTACTAAGCTACCATCTAGTATATAGTTTGAAATTTAATGTTAAAGAATATACACTTGGATAGACTACTAATTTCTACATTTGTTAACTGTCAACGATACTTTAAATGACACACAACTGTGACCTAAGTTTCAAGGATGGGGTTGGGGAAGGAGTCCTGCTCTGGATAATAAAGATGTAGGTGAGATGCACTCCTTCAGGGGCCTGTGGAAACTCCACTTAGCCTTCCAGCTCCTGGAAATTGGGCTTTTCCGCTTTAAAATTTCTCTCTTTTTTCTCAGTCTGTTATTACTCTTGTGTGTATGTGTATGTTTGTGTAGGTATACACATATATGAGAGAGAATTTCCAAGTGGCATTTTTCCATTCACCATTTTTTTTCCAAAGTCATGTTAAAACTCTTATAGGATCTCCTGTCTGAAGAAGAAAAAAATCAATTTGAGGTATACAGCGATAACTCATTTTCTTGTGTACTGAAATGGAACTAGTTTGCTTAAAACATTCCAGAGGAAAAGGGGAGGGGTAGATGAAACAAGATTGGCAAAATGATAACCATCACAGGTGGTTGAGTGGTCAATAGGGAACTCATTATATTATCCTCTCTACTTCATGTACGCTCCAAAATTTGTACAAAACAAAAGAGAGAAGAGTACAAAATAGATATATTAATGGTAAGTTTGAGGAATTCTAGATTTGTGTAATCTCTGCATAACGCACTAAGGCTGGAACAAGAGGGGGCAAGTTTTTTTTTTTTTTATTAAGAACATTCTGACATTCAAACCTCCCATTCCCTCCCTTTTTTTTTAAGTATATTCTTTTCCTTTTTTTTTTTAATTTATGATAGTCACAGAGAGAGAGAGAGAGAGAGAGAGAGAGAGAGGCAGAAACACAGGCAGAGGGAGAAGCAGGCTCCATGCACCGGGAGCCCGACATGGGATTCGATCCCGGGTCTCCAGGATCGCGCCCCGGGCCAAAGGCAGGCACCAAACCGCTGCACCACCCAGGGATCCCCCATTCCCTCCCTTTAATCAGGCATCTATATGTGTGTGTATGTGCATATATATATTCCATATAATAATACATTTTATTTTGTATAATATCTATACAATGTATCATATATGCTTAATAATGTATTATCAATATAATAATATATGTCCTATATAATAATATATATATCAAAGGAAAATTAAGATGTGATATATTTTTAAAAGATTTTATTTATTTATTCATAAGAAACAGAGAGAGGCAGAGACATAGGCAGAGGGAGAAGCAGGCTCCTCACAGAGAGGGGAGTCCAATGTGGGACTGAATCCCAGGATCCCAGGATCATGACCTGAGCCAAAGGCAGATGCTCAACCATTGAGTCCTTCAGGTGCCCCAAGATATGATTTTTTAAAAGCTGACCAAATGTAGTTCAGTGATGGACATGGCAGATGGTGACTGCACACATAAGCCATTTCTGAAAGGAAAGTTCTTTTTTTTTTTTTTTTTTTTACTGTCCCTTGCAGCTAGGGACAACCATGTAATACTGTTCTGGCCAAGTAGGTGTACATAGGAGTCTCCTGAGTGACACTTCAAGAAAGTGTTTATTTATCTGTTAAGAAGGGACAACGTTAGCTTTTTTCCTTCTTGTCCTTATACTGCTTCTACCTATTTCCTTCCCAGAGAACAAACTTGACACCTGAAATTGCAGCAGCTGTTTGGTGACCAGAAGGGGACATGCAGGAGAAGAAAAGGCTGTGAGGTAAGGAGGCTGAACCAGACAGAAAGAACATCAGCTCTTGACAGCATCATTGAGTTGCTGTAGCAGTAAACTACCCACCCCTGGACTTCTTGTTCTTTGAGAAAATTAAAAGCATAATTAATACAAATAGTGGATTTCATCCATTTTGAGATCAGGCTTTTGTTGGGAATTCTTTTCTTCAGCTCCAAGTATCTCGGTGGATGATGGTAACATTCAAAATTAAATTCCAAATTTCCCCTCTGCACTCAACACTTCTCAATCCTTCCCCAAATCATTTAGGATAAAATATAAATGTCTTAGCTTAGTTCTCAGACATGTTTCAAGATTTACTTGCAATTCGCATCTTAATCTCATCTCTGGTCACTCACCCACCAAGCTTCTTTCATTTCAGCCACCTCAATGACTACCGTGTGCGTGCAGCCTGGCCTGCTAGAATGCCATGGTTTTCCTCATACTTCTTATGCTATTTTCCTGTGCCTTTTTTTTCTGTAAAGAACATTCTTCTTTCTTTTCTATATTTAGCTAATTCTCCTTGAATTTCTAGGCTCAGATCATCAGTTCTTTCCTCTAGAGAGAGGACCCTGGCCATTCCTGGGTGGTTTAGGGTTCTAGGGGCACACATTATACATGTTTGCCCTCTTCCACTCTATAATTGTGGGGTACCTGCTGTTTCACTGGTTTGCTTTTTAACTCAGCTTCAAGTTCTATAAAGTCAGGGAACAGACTTCATTTGTACTTGTATTATTAGGACTCAGCATATAATAGGCATTCAACACAATATTTAAATGAATAAATGATGAAATGGATACATCAATAAATTACTCTTGATGAGAAAGATAAAGAAAGATGTCATGGAATAATTGCATGGCTTTGAATGAGACACCTCACTCTTGAAGCAGGGTTAGGATTGAGACAGGGACAGATACTGGCACAGACCAAGGAACAAGTACATATGTCCGAGTTCTCGAGGAATGAATGGGTAAATGAGAAGTCAAGAATTCTAGGTGGACAGAGTTTGAGTCATTGCCCAGGAGCAAGAATCAAGAAGTCAAGCACCAATCTGCCTGACAAATTGTGACGAGTCCAGGTTGGCTGAGGCTTGGGATCGAGGAAACCCTAGGACCTCAAGTGACAGACTGCACATATTGGTTTGGGGTATATTAAAGGGAGGCGTTTTGGCACAATCAAAATTGTGATTTTTTTTTTTACAAGACTTAATTTTCCTTCTTGATGGGACTTGATGATAATGGGATACTACAGCAATCTTGAAAGCAAATGTTTACCGAGATGAGCAAGTGGGTAGGTTCTTACTTGGCACCCTCTGCAAGAAAATTCTTAATGTCTTCTTTGTTTCTAAAAGGACATCTTACTTTCTAAATTAACTGCTGAATATGTTAGAAGAGAAGAAAGACAAAGAGGAGAGATGTAGTAGTGTGTAATCACCCATGAGAATTAAAGAAATGTTGGGGCTTCAGTTAGTTTAAAAATTGGTCTGCTATGCTTATATGATCCCTTTCATTTTAAATTCTGCCTGGCACATGGAAACACAGAATCATTGTACTTAACATAACAGATTGCATCTGGAAGGTCTCTTAAGTAATTCTAATAGTTCTATATAACAGGAATATTTAATTCATTTGGTGTTTTCATTATTTAAATATTTGATTATTTGTGCCATATATCCTTATATGTCAAATTACATGATCTGATTCTTTGAAGTCATCAATAGCAATTTGGCTCTAATCGAGCTGGCAGTCTCCAGGGAGATGATCTTGAGTAAATTCATCTCATTTTTGCTCTCTTCCAGGATTTGATTTTGCTCTTCTGTGCCATTTGCAAATGATAGGCCCTCCTGCCTCCACTTCTTTCTAAACTCATGTTCCATGATCTGCAAGAAATATTAAAAAAAAAATTGCAAGCAGATTTTTTTTTTGTCTTTCAATTATGAGCCTTTGAACAACAGAATAGAAAGCCCAAACTGGTCTCATATTCCTTCTGGGCTTTAGTATCTCAAGCTCATCATAGGTGTCCAATGATACTCTTTTGACGTTATGTGGAACATAAGGACTTCCCTCCAGGAGAAAGCAAGCAAGTTGGGATAGCCATAGTTACTTGAGAGTTTAGTTCTATATTTCACTTAAAAAGTAAAAACAAAGCAAAACAAAATGGAACTGTATTCAATTATTTTTGTTCTCTATTGAAACTGTAGATTCTACTTTGAAAGTGGATTAGAATATTCCTAGATTCAGGCACTGAGCCTAGTATGTACTATATAATCTATAGTACCTATTATAATATTCTATTTCTAAGCAAATAAATTCCTAAAGTTTTCTAAATAAATTTCTAAATAATTTCTAAATAAATTTCTAAATAAATAAATTTTAAAAAATATTAAGGTCATTAATCTACTCAGGTTTTGCTGTTATTTGTGGGTTTTTTTTTGTCATCAGATACTGACTATAAAAAAAATCAGTGTTTAAAAGACTTTATGAATTGTAGTAGTGCATCATTTAAAGTCTATCCTATCTTATCCTATCTTCTATGTAGACAGCCCAGTTAAGCATGATCACGTCCATGGACTTATCTCTACAGGACAAGTAGAGACATTAACGTACAATGAAGAAGTTTTTTGTGCTGTTTTGTCTTTTCATATGTTTCATTGAGCTGTAGACAGAGTTTGATGAGATGAGCTGAAATAAAGGTAAGCGATTTCAACGTATTTTGATTGTAATTGTTGGATGCTTGAGTAAAGAGAAAATGTTGGAATGCCATAGCATTCTTTCTCAACATCCTACTTGGACCCCAGAGAACATTTTTGCAAAAGAAGGTAATTTAAAGGCACTGGTGAATGAGGAATCATTCTGTCCCCCAGGCTAGTTGGAGCCAGACTGAGCAAGGTCAGTAAGGTTGGTACAAACTTGGAAGAACTCAGTGGTGATTGTGAGTCTGTAAAGACAGGAAAGCATTTCTCCAAACACCCTTGGCCATTGTTCCAAAAAGTTAAGAGACTTTGCAAAAGTGCATGTTACTAAGCATTTCTTAGGAACTAACCATGTCCAGAGGCTCACACAGTAGCCAGCAGAGCCTATAAAGCATGTTCATCATCTAAGCTATTCATTAACATGGTAAAAAGGCATGGCAAGCGTTTAGGAAAATGCACAGATATTACATGGAAATATATATCTATATTTCTCCAAACCTGAGCTTATTTTATATGAGGTACTTTAGAACTACCACGAGATTGTTTTCTGAAGGCAACAAGTTCAGTAAATTACTCTGCTTTTCTCCAGTCTTTTCATCCTGCATGTAAAATTTCAACCATGATGAACAGAGGGAGTCTCTGGTCCAAAAGCCCCAAATTTCTTATCCACAAATACAGGCAAATGGAAATTGCAGTTCTTCAAAAACAGCATTCCTTATTGTAATTTGTTTTTCACTTGTTACAGAGTCAAATAACATTGGTAAGTGTAATAAAATGTTTTAAAATATTCCTGTGCTTGTTCATTTGCTTTGAGGACATAAAGAGGCAGATCTTAAAGCAATGTATTCTGATCGAGAAACAGCTGGAAATGGCAGCAACGTGATATGGAGCAATCAAGAACAGAAGGTTTATTTTGAATGAGAGGTGCTGTCCAACTGTGAGACTGAGTGATCGCAGCTGAGAATGAGTGCAAACACAATCACTAGTGGCTCCAGGTATGGAGTTATTGAGGACCTGACTTGTTTCATGTCTTTTTCTGCTGCCACATTCACAATACATCCATAGATTGCAATCCTGTCTGTGGAGGAGGAAAAAAGTTCTTCGGTTTATTCTTATTCTTAATGACAGCTTCTGAGCTGTCATGATTTGAAATTAGAATGATAAAAAGGCTCCTTTGGAAAAAAAAAGAATATATTCCAAAGCCAAATTGTGTATCGGACAGGTAAGAATGCTTCATCATTAAATGGTCTTGGATATGCATTGCCTCTACAGCCTGCCATCAATTTTTATGTCAGTTGTGCTCTGTTTTCTGGACTTGTATAGCTACGGGCAGAGACATTTCATTCTTCCTGGTCCCTGACAACATTATTATTTTATTGATATAGACCAAAGGAGCGGATCGATAATGATGTGCTGTTGAATAATCTATAATTGCAACATTTCATATTTAGATACCACTTGAGTTTGAGCAGTATCTTAGCATACCTCATTTAATGAAACTTCGCTTCAACACAAGTGTATTGTCCAAGATACGTGTCTCTTTAGGTCTCATTATTTTATAGTCATACTTTATGTGTCACACACAGATATATCACAAACACATAAAGACAGGAACATAACTACATAAGAAATATTCCCCAATCTTGGGGTACCTGGGTGGCTCAGTCAGTTAAGTGTGCCTTTGGCTCAGGTCACGATCGCAGGGTCCTGGGATTGAGCCCTGCATAAGGGTCCCTGATCAGTGGAGAGTCTGCTTCTCCCTCTCCCTCTGCCTTTCCCTTTCCCCCTGCATGGAGGGGGAACTCTCTCTCTCTCCTCTCTCTCTCTCAAATAAATAAATAAAATGTTTTTAAAAAAGAAATAGTCCTCAAACTTATGCTTGGTGCTTTGTTTAGGATATCTTAACAATATATTTTTTTAAATAAAAATCTTTCTTCCATTTATATTGCAAAAATGACCACTTGATGATTAATAAATCTTTACTTTCTTGTGTTCCTGTATCTGTGTAAGGCCTTAATGGGCCACTAACCACATGAAATACAAACTTGAATAAAATAGAGCTCTTGACCTCAATGAGATTAAAATTCACTTGTTTCTTCAGCTAGTCCTTTCCAACTAGCATTCTCATTAGACAATTTCATTAAAAAAAGAAAAAAGTGCACTTATTTTAGAATCTTGGGAGTCAAGCTGGAGCCTGGACAGCCTTTCTACTTATTGGACTCTTTTGTCTATGCTTAGATGTACAACACTCTTTTTCATCTGGTTGCTTTTATAATGCAAAGGGCAGGAGCAAATTATATGGAGTACAATCAGTGGGACCAGAGTACTGAAACATTCCTTTTCATGACAATGCCAAGTTACTTTATTTGTTCATGAAGCTCTTGAAAAATGAGAAAGAACAGCAGGCCTTCAAGAGAGAACAGAGAAAGAGTTGGCTCCCAACGCTTTCATTACCAAAAGAGGGTGTTAAAATGCATAGAAATGTTAAATCTCTACTAAAAAAAAAAAATCAATGAATGACACATCCAGTTGCAGCTCACTCAACCCTGATTTAACAATCATAGGAGATCTTACAAGGGAATGGTTCAAAGTATAAAAAGTATTTTAATTTCACCTGCTGAGTGTTAATAAATTTGAAACACTGGAGGGGAAGCTGTCAGAGGGAAATAGAATATCTGTGCCACCACCTACACTCTCTCAAACAAAAATTATAATGTATTTGTATGGAAGGAAGTACAAGTAGTGGAACACTACTTTTATTAAAATGTGTGTGTAGGCTTAAGTGTCAGGTCTGACCATGAGACAAAATAGTTAATACCACTTATTGGTATTTGGACAGCATTTTTCTTTTGAGGATCCCAAAGCAATTTATGGGTACAACTCAATCTTTTTTGCTATTTGGAATCTTTGCCAGTGTGTTTTAGTACATCTAGCAACCTGGAAAATGACCAGGTCTTAGGGTAGATGAAGGTTTTAGGGATTTAATTTCTTGTGGAGCCTGGCAAACAAGAGGGTAATGACCCCTAAACCAAGGCAACCCACAGGCAATGTCTTCGTGGATTGTGGCTACATGGATGTAGGGACATTATTCAGAGCTCCAACCCCAACATTGCTAGAGTCCACATAATGTTCTGCCAAATAACAGATTAAAAGGTCCAACTCCTTTGAAGACCCGGTGTCCATACTCAGAAATGGCAGACATTTTATTCCAAAACAAAGATCTGGTGAAAAGGCTACATCAGACTTTCTAGCATCATAGCAATATTTTAATTTTTTAAAAAAGTTCTATTTAGAGCATTTATATTCACATCAATATAGTTATTTTGGGGTTGAAATGCCATACTAAAGAACCATTGGGTCCTATGATATTAGGATTTATGCAGGAAGGAACACATTGTTGCCATGGGGATGGGTAAATAGTCTTGATCTGAGACACTAGTTCCCACTGCCAAGACATGGGTGGAAGAAGGTGGTTCCCACAGACTTTGTTTTCTCTAGACTAAAAATAAAGCATGATTTCTATTAAAGGGCAATTAAAAAAAATTCTCGGGGATGTAGCCTAAAAGGAGTATACCCTATCATTTTCGGAACAATTAAGCAGTGAGCTCACTATCTAATACTTTGAGATTGTATTTGTATGCAATATTAATTATGTTCATTCTCTGTCACATCAAAGGTGGTGTTGCCACTGCAGCTTTTCTTAGTGCTGTTCACACAATCTTAAAAAAGAAATGGTTTATGGAGATAACATATATTACAGACACAAATTACTTTCCTTTTAAGAGTTACAATATAAACTTAGCACTTTGGGGTTAACTCTTCAAAACTGTCACTCCAGTTTGTGAAATATTGCTCCAAATGGTTGTGATGAATGTGAATTCTGTTACTTACGGCTTTTCTGGCCTCTAGTCAAGAGATCTACTACCATTTTTTTACTCTTAAATAATATGTCCAGATATATTCCATCATCATATCTGGAATCAGAGGAGTTTCCATAGCCTCTTCTCTTTTTTCACATCTTGCTGAAGCAGAGTTTTAAAAAACAAAACCACGAACTCTGCTATTCGCCAGAAGAAGTCTGTTATCAAAGATAATCTCCATGGGGACTGACTCCGGCTGTCCAACACTTGTCCGTTCGAGATGTAAACCATCTTTGCCCCCTCGGTCCCCGCTTCTGGAGCTAATTTGAGTAACCCTCAAATTCATAAGGGTTTGCAGTGATTTTACCACCAATGATTTTGCCTTACGTACTTCATGTTCCTGTGAGATAGGCAGGGTTTGTTGTGAGTTAACCATCTCCTTTTTTTTTTGGATTTAATTTATTTATTCATGAGAGACACAGAGAGAGAGAGGCAGAGACATAGGCAGAGGGAGAAGTAGGCTCCCCTCAGGGAGCCTAATATGGGACTTGATCCCAGGACCCTGGGATCATACCCTGCGTGAAGGCAGATGTTCAACTGCTGAGCCACCCAGGCGTCCCTAACCATCTCCTTTTGTATGTTGAGATGGAGCCTTAAAAACATCAAAATGCTTGCCTAAAGCTACATTGATAATATATGTAAGACTGAGCAAAAGTTCTCAAAATGAAAACGACTTTTTGCCTCTACTGTGGCATTAGAAAAATGGCATACTTCATTGCATACCATCAGTCCTATAAACTCTATCATTACATCATCGAGACTTCTAGATTTCATCCTGTGACAATTAATATTAGAGTAGCATCTGAATCATCTAAAAATTTTGTTGAGCTAAATAGCAGTTAAGGAAAATTATCCATTGGGCAGGATATCATTCACAATCCTTGAAAGGGTATTTATTTTAAGAAAATTTGACACACCTGGAAAGGAACGAATTTTCAGTTCATTATAAATTCCGCTGAAATTGTTTTATTTTACCACTTTGAAGGTAGATTTCCTCTTCTTCCTCTTCCTCCTCCTTCTCCTCCTCCCTGCTTTCCTCCCATGACCTCTTGTGACTTGTCAGCCTTCTTAAGTTTATCATTGCACAACTTAACCTATTTTTTTTTTTTTTGCATTACTTTGCTGGATCTCAAGGCAGCACAGCCAGGTTTAAAAACAATTATTATTTTCTCTCATGCTGTCTTCCTCTAAGGTATGTTCTTTATACAGAATATTTATTGGGGTGGTAGAAGGGGAGGAGGGCGGGGGGTGGGGGTGACTGGGTGGCGGGCACTGAGGTGGGCACTTGATGGGATGAGCACTGGATGTTATTCTGTATGTTAGCAAATTGAACACCAATAAAAAATAAATTTATTATTAAAAAAACAATTAAAACCAGTTTAGAAAAAAAAAGAATATTTGTTGGGCTGTTTCCAGTTTTAAATGAGTATAATTCATCAAGGGATTGACACTCACTAAAGAACAAAAATGTGGGATCCCTGGGGGTGGCACAACGGTTTGGCGCCTGCCTTTGGCCCAGGGCGCGATCCTGGAGACCCGGGATTGAATCCCACGTCGGGCTCCCGGTGCATGGAGCCTGCTTCTCCCTCTGCCTATGTCTCTGCCTCTACCTCTCTCTCTCTGTGACTATCATAAATAAAATTAAAAAAAAACCTGAAACTTTAAAAAAAAATAAAGAACTAAAATGTATTTTGAATAGCTGCTTCTCAAAAGTTCTAAAGAAGCTTTCCCTCTTCTTAAACAACTCTCCTTTTCATGCCGGCTCATTCCACCCTGAACATTATTTTTAAAAGTGCTTGATTTGGTGAGAACTTCACTTTTTTCAGCTGTCCCCTGGGAAAGAATTCTGTTGGTTCCTACCACCCAGGTCCCTAGAGTCAAATGTTTCATGTCTCCATGCAGCTTCCTTCTCATCCTACCCTTCATTCACATGAGCCACCCCCATAACCACCCATATTTTTATTTTCTCCTTAAATTATAGAATTGGCATCTTATGTTTGCACCAGAGAATCCTGCTTGTTACACAGAATGAAAAGAAAGTGTTATAATTAGTGCTATTTCCTCGCTTGAGCAATACTGTAAAATAACCAAATATTTTTGTCATCAAGCATTATTTACTACAGCAGTGTTACATTTCTTCAAATCACTAGCATTCATTTACTGAGATGTGGTACATTTTACTTGGATCTCACATTGTTTTTCACAGGCAGCCTCCTTACCCCATTTTGGAGGAGGGAGCCCAAATGAGATAGATCTGTTTTGCAAAGCTCTCTACAGTCTTTATATGTAGAGCAGTGGTTCCCAAACCACATCAAAATCAGCTGGGTTCGAGACCCACTCATTTGGATAGTGTACCACTTACCGGGCTCAATTAGGAGACAGAAAAACTGAAGTACTGGTTGCCTAGGTAATTTCTCTAGGTCAAAGGCAAAAGTCATTTAGCCTTTTCTCCAGTCTAGGAATCTGTTTGCTCTGCTAATTGAACCACCCTAATCAGATCAATAATGTCCCTTATCTGCAATGAGGCAGGTAAAAAATCCATTCCAAAGTGGTGGTTGAGTTGCTTTTCCCTCCTTCACGCTGCCTGCTAATGTGAACCTTGGCATAACAGACACTACTTGGCAAAAGGTAAGTGCTCAGAAGTAAAAACCATATTCTCAGTGAATTCATTTATCCTTAACAGAGGCTTGGGTTTCACCCTCAAAGGTCACCATGGAGTCACTGTGAAGAGATGCCTTCCTGTCTTTTGAAATCCTGAGGAGTGGAGACTGGAGAAAACGGGGTGAGACCATTGCCCATCAGGATCCCTCTTAATTCATGTCTCCCTCTTCTGTGAATTTATAATAAACACAGTTCCCTGGAAGCCGGTGTTCAGATCAGGGCCAGAAAATAAGCACAAGTATATTCTAATCCATTCTTATCAATTATATATATTTCCTCTTCTCATTATTATGTTAAAGAAGGGATGATGAGAATTTGTCATTGGGAAATAATTAGATTGGAAACTTCTTTTCTCCAATCCAGTCCACTCTTCACTCTATGTTCCTCATGTCAGTAACCTCACAACCACTTGCACAGTCACTCAGGTTTGGAACCAAGCTTCCAATTGGTCTCCATGCCTCCTGCCTGTACCTCTTCCTTCCTCTGTCCACCCCACATTGCATCCCGTATGATCTCTTCTAACCTTGTATAAGATTTTATCACTCTGCTGATTTAAATTTTTTTGTGACTTCCCAGAGCTTTGTGGTTCCTTTCAAATTCCCTAACTTGCTATCCAAGCTCCTTCATGTAGCATGGCACCTGCCTGCTTCTTTTGGCTCATCTTGCATTCCAGTCCCACATGTATCCTCTACTCTGGTCCTACAAGCTCTGCCTCTGTCTTCAAGAATTTCACAAGTATAGTTTTCTTAAAACCTTTAGATTTTTTTCTCTACCCATTTAATTCCCATTCTTCAAGACCAAGCTCTTGAAAAGGACTCCTTCTGACTTCTTAGCAATGAAAATATTCTTTCTCTGTGTCTCTGAAGCATCCTCAGCAGCTATTTTAACACAATCATATGAAATTGCACTTGCTGGTTTATGGCCCTGTGTCTCCCACTGGATATAAAACTCCTATGAGGGGAAAGAATGTGTCACTTTGACTTTATATGCCCAGGACCTAGAAGTATGCATGGAATGTAGAAAGAAATCAAATTTTCTTTTGGAATTAAAGAAACTGAATGAGTCAATAAAGCAAGGAGATGGGTGATGTAAAGAAATATGTGATGTTTGCCAGGAAGGCAAACTTGCAAAGCCTATTTTCCCACAAACAATTTCTCATGGCTGAATATCTCTTTTTGCAATCTCTCCTTCAATCATTCCATCCTGCTGAAACCATGCTTTTCAGGCCCAGCCTGCTGATGCTCCCCAGGACTCTAGATGAGGTTCATTTCTCTCTGTAATAAGCATTTATTGGCTATCATGTACTCTTGCTTAATCAAGCTAACTCATTTCCCTGAACCAATTAACTCAAAATTTCCATCTCTTCTCATATGTTTTTCTCAATTAATTAGAAAAGAAAGGAAATTCCCTTTAGTACTCCTGTATCTAAACATGGAAATCATCAACAACTTCTTTAGCCCCAACTATAGGCAGCTCCACTGCTTCGTGAAGCTCCTAGCACATTAAGGAATGAATGAAAGCTCCAGACTAAAAGACCTGAATGTGAGTCCCAGTCTTTCCACTTTCTGTGTCACATGGGATGTGTTACCTCCTCTTTGAGCCTCAGGCTTTTTCCAGTATATTGTGGATTATAGCATCTTCCTGTGCACTTTTGATACTAGGACTGGATGAGATCTGGAGAGCCTCTACTCCCTATCTAGCACACAGGTTCTTTGGAGATGAGTAGTAATTATGTGTGTTAATATGAAGAAACTTTCCATTGATATTGGATATACTCAATGCATTGAGTTTTACACTCCCAGGTCATGGAGTTTTCAATAATTTAAATCAAATTAAATAGAGTATGCAAGACAAGAGTGTCTAAATTCTAGATAGTGAAAAGGTATTTTATTGCAGCTGTAATAACATTATATAAATTGATGTGAATATTGAGATCACTTGATTTCCTGATTGGAAAGTTTATTGCTGTCCTTCAAACACAGATGTAGACATAAATGTGAAAGATAGCAAAAAATTCAGGCCTGAACATTTGCCCATATTGTCCTCCCCTTGGCCCGTTTACATAATTTTTGCCATTATTCCCATGGTTCTGTAATCCCCTTTCTGAGTACTCCATGTTCTTATTTTTTCTCATATTTGGCCTACAGCACCATTTAGAAGGCTTTATTAGACTCCTTTGTTTTACTAAATTGAATCTCCATGGTTTTCTTGTGGAAACCTTTCTGTTCTGATTTCTCTCTACTTGCATCACTATATCCACCCTTCCTTTTTCTATTTCATGCTCAGTGGCCTGAAAGATTAACCTCAGAAACATAATCACCTGGATTTCCTTGCCCTCTGGCTCTCAAATGGCCTCAGTCCTTCAAGAAGCTGTAGAAATGTATTGATGGCTGAGAGAAGAGCTAGACTGGTGTACTAGATTCCTCCTGCCACCAGCTCACTCCTTGCCTGGCCATAGTCCTGGTGGTAGTTGCCTTATGGCCACAACTTCTGTTGAACAGACCCACACCCATAGCTCTGTTTCTCAGGAGGCTTCATTAGCACTATTCCTTCCCCTTATCTTTCCATGTGTAGGAGTGGTAGAGGCTTCCTAATATCAGAGTTCCTGGGTGGTTCATATTCTTGTTGGACTCTGAATTCTACCTAAATAGCTCTAAAATCCCCCTTACAAAATCTTTTTCAGTTAAATCTATCCTTTGGAATCTGCCTGTTTGATTTTCCACATACCCTCAGTTCCAAGAAAAAGATATTTACCTGCTGGTAGCTAACTCCAAGGGCTTCCAGTGGGTGAGGAGATGAGATTACTTATTAAGTGTTGAAATTGAGGTCTACAGTGGTTAAGTTACTTGTTCAACATCACATGACTGGTCAATTTACGGGCAATTCATTCAAACATTTAATGAAACATAGAATTGGTTGGGCAGTGGAGATAAGATAGAATATTGCTCCTGCTCTTAATAATTTGTATTTCAGTGTAGGAGAGAGATGTATAAATTAATATTTAATATGTAGCAAGAGTCAGGGAGCCTGGGTAGCTCAGTGGATTAAGCATCTGAGCTTCAGCTCAGGTCATGATGTCAGGGTCATGAGATCAAGCCCTGAATCTGGCTCCACGCTGGGCATGGAGCCTGCTTAGGATTCTCTCTCTCTCTCTCTCTCTCTCTCTCTCTCTCTCTGTGCACATATGCTATCTCTCTCTAAAATAAATAAATAAATAAATAAATAAATAAATAAAATATAAAATAAAAATAAAATAAATTAAAATATAAAAAAAAAATAAAATAAAATAAAATGTAGCAAGAGTAAATGGCCAATGATAAGAAAACCCAATATAATCTAGGCCTTGCAGATGAAACCAAAAGATGATATGGGAAAAAGATGGTCCTTTGAGTGGAGAGTAAAGCACGCCATGAAGCAGTTCTGGTGTTTAGAGCTTTCTCCAGCAGCATCTGTTTTCTCCTGGACTGCTGCAATGGGCTTCTATAAAGAGGTATATGGCCCATGCTTCCCATCTTCTAATCCATCCTCTACATTGTGGTCATAATGTTCTTTTCAGATGCAAATCTAAGACAATTTTCTCCTTGAAACTCTCAATTTTCCTCAGAATTAAAAAAAAAAAAGCAACTATGGCTGACAAATACTTATATGAACTGGTTTCTGCACCATCACCAACTTTACGTCTGGCTACCCACATTTTCTCTTTTTTGTCTTAATGTCTACAGCAGTCACCCCCTTATCTTCGTTTTGCTTTCCAGTTTCAGTTACCTCAGGTTCACTGTCATCCAGAAGTAGAGAGTCCTCCTGACGTGTCCTCAGAAGGTCAATAGTTGCTAACACTACATCACATTGCCTAGGTCGTGCACCTCACTTCATCTCATCAAATAGGCATTTTTATCATCTCACATCATCACGAGAAGAGCAAGGGTGAGTACAGTACAAGAAGATATTCTGAAAGACCACATTCACATAATCTTTATTACATTACATTGTTATAATTGGTCTATTTTATTATTAGCTATTGATGTTAATCTCTTACTGTGCCTACTTTACAAATTCATCCTAGGTATGTATTACAGGAAAAAATATATTATACTTAGGGTTAGTACTATCTGCAGTTTCAGGCATCCACCAGGAGTCTTGGAAAGTATCCCCACAAATAAGGTGGATCGCTGTATGACCTTCTCTTAAGTCCTTGAAAATGTAGTTCTCCTCTCACCACTGGATCTTTGTAATCTCTTCCCTACCTTTAAAGGCCCCTCTGAACCTCCTGCCATTTATTTTCTGTAAAATCTTCAAGCATTAGCTCAAAAAAGCACTTGCTTGAGGAAGCTACCTCTGAAAATCCTGACATAATAATCCACTACTTTTTGCAGCATCTATCACAATTCTAACAAAGTTAAATACATTCACTTACATATTTTTCCCCTTTTGAGAACTGATACGATTTCCATTTCTTTACCGCTTGACCCATAGTATTAAATCCAGTGCTGCACTGAAGGTAGGAGCTCAATAGATAATTTTTTTAAAAAATATTTTTATTTATTTATTCATGAGAGACACAGAGACAGAGAGAGGGGCAGAGACACAGGTAGAGGGAGAAGCAGGCACCATGCAGGGAGCCTGACGTGGGACTTGGTCCTGGGTCTCCAGGTCATGCCCTAGGTGGAAGGCAATGCTAAACCACTGAGTCACCTGGGCTTCCCTCAATAGATAATTTTTGAATGAGTATGGGAATGATTATAAATGGCCTGGACTCCAGGTAGGCATTGTGCATTAGGGGAATGTGCACCTCAGATGGAGTGATGATGATAAATGAGGCTAGAGAAGACAGCAAAAACCAAATCTTAAAGGGCCTTAAATGCAAAACAAATCCAGACTTACTCTTAAGTGTGATAAGCAGCCATTAGTATATATATATATATTTTAAGCTTGGAATTTTTCAACTTTGTTGACTAACTGAAGAGTGGATTGGTACAGAAAGAAGCAAGAACAATTAAGAAGCAAATGCAAATATCAGGAGAGGAATATTAAGAGCATACACTAAAGTAACATTTCTCAAATTTGTTACACATCATCATCACATGGACAGCTAATAATGCCCACAGAGGCACAGGCTTCTTGAAGTAGGGGAGCTTGTGGGCTTTTATATTTTTAACAATACAAATTTCCCCCAGGGGATTCTGATAGCCATACATTTGAGAGCCACTGAAGTAAATTTAAGATAGTGAGATGTAGTCTTAATACAGTTGAATGATTTTTTATTTTTTGAGGTGGGGAATGGGTACAAGTAAGGAGTCCATATTAACTTATAGGTTATGGCAACAATGGCTAGTTCTGCCATTGGTTGAAATGGGAAGAGATGATTAGTTTTGGATCTTTATTAATGGGATTAAAGTCAGTCTTTTCTCCTCATTTTATTGGTGTTTATGTTCTGCAAAATCTATCCCAGTTGGTCAGTGAAAATCTGGGGTCAGAATCCCTCCTGACACAATAAAAAAGAGATTATAATAGAATTCATATTTTATAGTTCACAGTCTATGATAAGGTCTTAAAAATCACAAGTGATAAATTATAAGCATCTAAGTGTGTTTTTTTTTCCCTCTAAATGTGTTGCTCCACTGTCGACTTGATTTATCTATGAAAGAAAGCATGTGAGATTCACTGTAGTGCTTTTTTTATTTCAGTAGTGTTAAGTATTTGCCCATTTGTTGCCAACCCTTTTGTGATTCACAGAAGTTTAGTATTAGCATCCAAACTCTGGATAATATTAAATCTTGTGAAAGATCAACTGAGAAAGTGTTTATTCATCATGTGAATTTAAGGAGGTACCACCCACAATTTAGTGTGGTGCTAATATTTGTTGATCCCTAAGAGTACTACTGAAATTTTAAAAATGCATTGCAGATTTAATATTAGTTTGGCATCTTTATAATGCCTGGAGAATGGTAGATTCCTGGGATTTGCACTTTAAGAGTCAATATAAGGCTGGGCAATATCCAGGAGCAGGAATCAGGAAAGGTCCAAAAGATGCAATGGTCTATGTTGTTAATATTCCTGTACCTAATTTTACCACACAACACAATTTACCCTAAATATGTTTTTAAGTAAGATATTAAAATGTCCCTTCGTTTGTCATAATGACATACAGTCTGGAATGGTAGAAAGGACTTAAGTTCTAGTCCAGACACATAACCAACTGTGGAATGTTGTGCTCCCCACTTTAACATTTGTGTGTCAATCCCTCTGCTTTAAAATGATGGGAATGGCTAGTCTCTAAAAATCCTTCTCTGGTTCTACAATTCTGAGATTCTGGGTTCTATCGACTGAGCATCTGTATAGTTTTTAATAGAAATGTGATTTCATCTGGGAACATCTGTTACAGTTTATAACATATTTTACCAAGTCCTTGACCTTAATTTTATCATAGGCATCAGATGTTCCTTCACAGATTCTACTCTGCATCTTATTGAAGGAACATCAGTTATGCTTGTGTCTTGAGTAGTGTCAATCTGACTAAAATAATATGCCAGATTTGTTAACATGATCATTAAGTGACTTCTTAATTAAGATTGTCAAGATCACCAGTGATATAATTCAGTGCTATTTTAGCATTAGAAATTACATAAACTACTCATTTACATTTTTATTTTTATACTTACTGCAAAATAAAAGTATTTTTGTTAAAGGCGTCATACTTCTTCCAAATAAACATGGATTCTAAAATAATTCTGTGACATACATATTAATTGACTAAATATACTGCCATTTGATATCTTCTAATAAAACAATATTTCCTTACTAGTAATTACAACTTTTCTATTATTAATTTAGAAACTTGCTTTTTTACACTGGAAATTTAATTTTTACGATTTCCTGGCTATAAGAATAGTTTAGATAGGGCCATAAAATTCCCCCAGTTTTTTTACTTACTTGAAACCAAGGAGATAGAGAGGGAATTTTTCAATCTTTTCCTTTACTATTTGCTCACTAAAAGAAAAGTGCAGTCTTCTATGGTTAATTATTAAACCAAGGCAAATCTTTGATTCTAAGGGAAGAAAGGATAATAAAGTGTAAACAAACAACCTGTTAGACTCAGTGCACTTTGATGCTTTGCCTCTCTGCATCTCTATTTTCCAATCTGCAGATGATGGTGGGAAGGCATGAAATAGTAATCATCTTGTGAAATGTACTGAAAATTATTTGAGATAACAATAGTACAGCTCTTGACCAAGAGTTATAGTCGCCAAGAAGCTAATTTAATGTGCAGAATTAAGCGACATGTAAGAAGCTTCCCTGGGCTCATGCTGTTTTCTGATCGTGTGTTAGAAACATTCATTTTACTTTACCTCATCTACTTTCCTTTCCAGCAAGTCTGAGAAAAGTCCATAAGTGTCTTAGGCCCCCTGACGCTGTCTCCCTTCCTTCTGTTCCTAGTGCTGTTTTGTTGGTTGTAATTGGTCATGTGTTTTCAGCATCTGGGGATCAAGTGTTGATTTTCTCTACCAATATGGTTGTTTTTTTCAAATGAGCTTCCTATTCCTATTTTAGCTTTTTTGATTAGCCTTATCTCTGTTACTTCTTAGAAGTCCTTGATTACTCTATAAAGGAAACTTAGAATCAAGTATATATCCTTATGAGAAATAAATACTTTTACTAATTTGCAAAAGAAATTCTAGAAAGCATAGTGGAGGCATGCATTACCTTTCTCTGATTCTTTTACCCTATCGTATCTCTATCTTTCCTGGTTCCTTTATCCCTGGCTGATTTCTGACCTCTGCCTGTCTGCATTGGGTGCTTTATTCAGCCACTTGGAATCTTCTGCTGCCACAGAGCTGAGTCAGCTCTGCTGGTGCTTAGAAAGTCCCAGGACCTTGCAGAGAGGGATGGAGACCAGTGACAGGAGGAAGGGGAGGAAAAATATCCCCTTGTACTGTGCTTTTCAAAAGTAAAAAATATGCCGCCAAAGAGGGCCTCTTATGTGCTCTCTTTATCTCTTTGTGGTCTAACTGGGGCAGAAACTACCATCTCCAAAGACATTGGGACTCATAAGTGTTAAATGATCTGCTTAAGGTCACACGGCTTGAAAGCATTCCAAATCAGTTGTAGTCTGTATGTTCCAAATGCAACTCCAGGATTCTTTCCACTTGTTCATTCCAACATCTCTATTCTGGGACTATTATCAGAAGTGCCTGAACTTGTCTTTGGGAAATCCCGTCATTCACTCAAGTGCTTCATGAGGTGCTTTGATTATGAAAATAGAAGAAATCTTAAAGCTTTGCTATGATGACAACTAAGAATGTTAACAGTCTATTAAAATAAGATGTAAGGATTTAGGAAGATAGGTACATCCTCACTGTATCTTCTCAAAAGCTGAGTAAGTAGTATTGCCAGAAGGTTCACTCATAGCAGACATGAGAAAAACAATAGCAGTGGAAAGGTTTTTCTGTCTCTGGAATAAGGAAGTGTTCTTCCATGAATGCAGGAAAAAAGGTTGAGATTGTTAAAGCCTTAATATTCCCTAACTTTCATTCCATTCAAATAACTTGATACCAACTGTAGACAAGATACTAAAATGCCTTTTGTGAAGTGCAGTGAAAAAGGTATGATTTTAGACTTTGGATCAATGACATTGGATTCAGGCTAACTTGAGCTCCCTATAAGGTCATGGCTAAAATGAAATAAAATAAGATGTAAAAGTTGTTACAGAGTACCTCAAATGTGTGTTAGAAACAAATAGTTTTTGTTTTTGCTGTCAGATGAATGAGATGAAAGCATTCAGAAAATGCCCCTGGATTTCAAGGAAAGAGAAGTTGTAGTCATAATTAGCTATTTTAGCAACAAATAAGCATGCAGCATAGTTTGGAAATTTTCTTTTTGTAAAAGTGGCCCTAAGCTCCAGATCACATTATAGTCATTTAGGAAGTAATAAAACATAAAAACAAAAACAAAAGAACCACAAAATATCCAAGTCTACTTCAGACCAATTGAATCTGAATCTCTAGGGGGTGGAGTCTGAGTTTTTTGTTTGTTTTGTCTTGTTTTTTTTAGCTTACCAGGCCATTCTAGCATGTGGTCACAGTTGAGGAAAGTTGGTTTGTAACATCAGCAGTCTTGAGTAGCAATCCCAGAAAACTTCTTTTGGTGATGACCATGACTTATGTGTGTCTATTTTAGTAATAATGGCCCATGGTGTGTCCTCTTTTCTTTCTCATGGTGGCCCTATTCATAATTTTCAGTTTTCTGAAGAGGATCTGAGGTGAACACATCAGCCTGCAGCATCCCTAGCAATGGTAAGTGAAATGTAAGAGAAGTAACATAAGAGCTTGTCCTTAGCCCGTCTTGCAGCTGGAGGGAGTAAATCAATTACAGCCTTCTTACTTCTTTTTTTTAAGATTTTATTTTTATTTAGTTGGGAGAGAGAGAGAGAGAGAGAGAGAGAGAGAGAGAGAGAGAGAATCCTGGAATCCCAGATCAAGCTCCCATGTCAAGCCTCATAACAGGCTCTCTGCTCAGAGGGGAGTCTGCTTTTCACTTTCCTTCTCCTTTTGCCCCTCCTCTACTCATGCTCTCTATCTCTAAACAAACAAAGAAATGAATAAAATCTTTTAAAAAAGAATGCATTGCTTAATATCCACAGAATTATGAAATTTCCAGTTTTACTTCTGTTAATGATTTGTAACTTCCAAGGTGATGGGAAAAGTTAATTAGTATGATATCTATCTTTCTATATCTATTGAGACTTAATTTGTGGCCTAACATGCTCTATCCTGGCAAATGTCCTATGTACCCTTGAGAAGAATGTGTTATGCTATTGTTGTTTTGTAGTCTTTTCTTTGTATGTCTATCTAGTTGGTTTATTTATCTAGTTGGTATTATCAATGTCTCTTTAGTCATCCTTAGTCTGGTTGTTCTATCCATTACTGAGAATGGAGGATCAAAGTCTATATTATTGTAGAATTGTGTATTTCTCTCCTCGATTTTGTCAGTTTTTGCATCATATATTTTCATGATATATCATCAGTTGCATAAACAATTATAACCGTTGTGTCTTCTTGCTGTATTGAGGATTAAAAAGTATATAACGCCTTTCTTTGTCTCATAATCTTTTGCGATTTAAAGTCTGTTTATCTGATATTAATACAATCATCCCTGCTCTCTTTGGTTATTATTTGCATGGAGTATCTTTGTCCTTCTTTTCACTTTTGGTCTATTTCTTTGGTTCTAAGGTGAATATTATATAAACTGAATATACATGTAATGGAATGTGTGATTTTATCTATTCTTCTAATCTCTGTCTTCTGATTGGAGAGATTATTCATTTACATTAGTAATCACTAATAAGGAGAGGCTTCTGTCATTTTCCTTTTTGTTTTCTCTATGTTTATAACTCTTCTTGTCCTGCATTTTCTATATTACTGCTTTCTTTTGTGTTTAGTTGATTTTTTTTTTGGTTTAAATTTTTGTTTGTTTGTTTGTTTATGTTCTATAGCTGTATTCCTTGTGGTTACCTTGGGGGATTATACTTAACATTCTAAGGTTAAAGTACACTATTTTGAATTTATACCAGATTACTTTCAATAACATACAGAAACTCTGCTCCTTATAGCTACTTCCCTTCCCATGTAGGTTGTTGATGTCACAAAATTATATCTTTATACATTGTGTGTCCCAAAATATAACCTAATAATTCTTTTGAATGTATCAGTCTCCTAAATTATATAGAAATCAAAATTAGGAGTTATAAACTAAAGTTGTAATGATACTAGCTTTTGCATTAATGATTGTTTTTTTAAAAATGTATTAGTCTCACCAATCATGCAGAAAATAAAGTGAAGTTACAAACTCCACAAGCTTGTTGTTGTTAAAAGATTACAAGCTTTTATAATTTCCCTTGTATTTTCCCTTATTGAGATCTTTATTTTGCCATATGGCTTTGAGTTACTATGTGGTATCTTGTCATTTCATCTTGGCAGACTCCTTTGAACATTTCTTGCAGGGCAGGTCTAGAGGTAATGAACTCCTTCACCTTTTGTTTATCCTGAATATCTTAATGTCTCCCTCACTTTCAAAGGACAATTTTGCCTGATGTAGGATTCTTGATCGACAGTTGTTTTCTTTTAGCACTTTGAATATATCAGTACACTGCCTGTGGCCGTCAAACTTCTGGAGAGAAATCTTAATGAAGATCCCCTGTCTCTCTCTTGTGCTCTCAAGATTCCCTCTGTCTTTGTCTTTCTAAAATTTTATTATGTCTCAATATGAGCCTCTTTGAGTACATCTTATTCAGGGTTTGTTGAGCTTCTTGGATGTTCATATTCATATATTTCATCAAATTTGGGGATTTTTTAAGCATTGTTTCTTTATATATTCTCCTGCCCATATAACTGTCTCTTCTCTTTCTGGGACTCCCATAATGTGTATGTCGGTCCACTTGATAATGTGCTGTATTTCCCTTAAGCTCTATTCAATTTTCTTCAATCTTTTTTCTTCTTCTTTCTCAGACTTAATAATTTTCACTATTTTAGCTTTAAGGGTGGTGATTCTTTCTTCTGCTTACTCAGATTTGCCTTTGAATTCCAAAAAAAAACATTTTGATTATGTACTTCTCAGCTAAAGAATTTCTTTTTAGGTTTTCTCTTTGTTGATATTTCCTTTTTTTTTTTTTTTTTTTTTTACATTTTCTCCAAATCTTCTTTAGTTCTTTGAGTATCTTTAAGATGGCTATTTAAAAGTCTGCCTAGTATATCTGCCATCAGTTCTTTTGTAGTGACACTTCTGTTGATTTATTTATTTCCTTGGAATGGGCCATAAGTTCCTATCTCTTTATATGCCTTATGATTTTTTTTGTTGAAAACTGGAAATTTGAACCTAAAAATGTGAAAACATGGGAAATCAGGCTGTTCTTCCTTTTCCAAGATTTTCTGGGTTTTGTTGTTTTATTTCTGTTTGATTTCTGTAGACTAAAAAGTTATAATGATACTAGCTTTTAGTATCAGCCTGAGAGTTAAACATAAAGTCATCTCAGGTCTTTTCTGGGTCTTTTGCTGGGCATGTGTGGTTAATTTCTATTATCTCCTATATTTGCAGTAATTTTGAATGTCCTAGTCTTTAATGTCTGGATCCCAAAAAGGGGAAAATGAAAAGAAGAAGAAGAAGAAGAAGAAGAAGAAGAAGAAGAAGAAGAAAAGAAGAAGAAAAGAAGAAGAAAAGAAGAGGAGGAAGAGGAGGAGGAGACGGGAAAGGGGAAGTGGCCCTTTAAGTCTGCTGGAAGTCATATCAGCCAGAGGGGGAGGTACTTGCAGTAATGGGGATAAGTAAAACTATAATGACTGCTACCTCTTTGTCTGCATCTGTATGATCATCAGCAGCAACCAGAGGTCAGAACACAGATCCCTAATATTTGGAGGACAGGGTCCATTTTGCCCAACTTGGCTTCCACCAACTGTGTGTAAGCTTCTCTGGGAATATGTTCAATTCCTGCCATGCAGCAGGGAGTAGGTATGGGGGGCTGCTACTGTGCTAAGAGCTGAAATAGACTGTCCATGCCTTCCTTTGGAAGTTGCAAGCTTTCCATAGAGTTCATAGTTCAAAAAGAGTTACATCCGACGGATTCTTCCAGTGTAGTGTTGTCTAGGTGTGAGGACAGATTCCTGGTGCTTCCTATTCTGCCATCGTCCCAGAGCATCATGAATGGCGAATTTTTAATCATCTCAGTAAGGATCACTTTTTATTAAGTAATTTAGCTTCCTTAAAATGTGATTAATCTGGAATTTCAGGGAAAGAAAATGTTTCCAAACAGATTTCCCATCATCTTAGAATCCTTCGTTCAATCTTCATTGTCTAAAAGCAAAGTACATATTGAGAACAAAGTTCACAAGGGACTTTTCCCCTTTTCCCCATGATCTGACATGTCCAAGTTTCACCATTCATATTAAAGCATTATGCACTAGAGACGGTCACAAATAGACTTATACCACATTTCCTTCCTTTAATTTTATATTTACGTCAATACCAACGTCTGAGCAGTACAGTTTTTTTTTCCTCTTTAACTCAACAATTAAACTCAAGATCAATCCCAGACGTTTCATGGCTCTTCCAAGTCACATTGATGCTGTATATGGGAGAAGAAAAAAATTTCTGCTTCAATGAAGATTTTCCATAAGGATGAAGCTCCATTTTTCAATCCACATTTAATGAAACATCTATGCATTTAATACTTCATTCATTCATCTATAGTCTGAGTTCTTGTTTCCACTAGCACTTTTTAAGACCCTCATCACAGTCTAGTGAGTCTGATTTCTTAAGGAACCCTCTGTCTTTTGGGTGAGAAAGATATTTGGGATCAATCATATTTAGGCAGAGTTAAGTGAGATATTATAGAGCACAGAAGGGGAAAGGACATATGCTGCTCGAAAGAGTCAGGAAAGGACATCACAGGGATGGTGTCTGATCTCAGACTTAAAAGATAATTAGGAGTTAATGAGGCAAAGAATATGAAAACAGTAAAATAAGTGAAGGGAACAGCATATGCAATGACACATTGGCATGTGCAGAGATGTGGAATTCAGAATGCTTTCAGGATGTTTATAGAAAGAAGGGATGGGTAGGAGTAAGATTCTGAAAACTGAATTTTAGGTCCTCTGACCTAAGGACGTTGGACTGATTCTATAGGCAATAGAGCATAAATAAAGGGAATTTTAAAGCAGAGGGTGGTTTGTGAGTATTTGTTTTGCTGTAAGTTATTTATAATAGCACACAGAGAATTAGACACTGGTAGTAAGTAAAGCAGTGCAAGAAAGAAATGTTCTCAGCCTTGGAAAGAAGATGGAGAAGAGGATTCATATTTGAGAGACCTTTATGGAACATTATTGATAGAACTTGCTATTGGTTGGGCTTAAAATGTAAAGAGGTTTGCTTAAGAGAAGGTTAACTGTGAAGTACCTGAGGTCACTACAGGTAGCTAACAGGTCACTATAAATTCAGGCATGGGGGATCCCTGGGTGACGCAGCGGTTTGGCGCCTGCCTTTGGCCCAGGGCGCGATCCTGGAGACCCAGGATCGAATCCCACATCAGGCTCCTGGTGCATGGAGCCTGCTTCTCCCTCTGCCTATGTCTCTGCCTCTCTCTCTCTCTCTCTCTCTCTCTCTCTGTGTGTGTGTGTGACTATCATAAATAAATAAAAATTAAAAAAAAATTCAGGCATGCTGTTTGAGAGAGTTGAAGTAATTCGTATGAGCCAGGTAAAGCAGAGTATCATTAGAATGGAAAGATACATTAGCCAAGGGCAAAACTCCAATGGCAGTGTTTCCATTTCAGATCTTGGCTAGGTTTTAGTAGACTCTGCATGTTCAGAGTTTAGTAAGATTTCTGCAGGCTTGACTGGATGAATTATCTTCTGAGTTCTCTTATATAATCTATTTTACATATCTCTTGAATCTCTGAGAAAAGATTGGGCCTAATTGGTAGTATATTACAATGCCTTTTCCATAGGGGATACATTCCAAAACCCCCCTCTGAATGCCTGAGACTATGATATACTGAACTCTACATATGCTATGTTTTTTTCATGTACACACATACCTATGATAAAATTTAACTTATAAATTAGACACAGTAAGAGATTACAACAATAAGTAATTATTATTAATAATTTATTTATTTATTTATTTATTTATTTATTTATTTATTTATGAGAGACACACAGAGAGAAAGAGAGGCAGAGACACAGGCAGAGGGAGAAGCAGGCTCCATGCAGGGAGCCTGACGTGGGACTCGATCCCGGGTCTCCAGGATCACACCCTGGACTGAAGGCAGCGCTAAACCGCTGAGCCACCAGGGCTGCCCAACAATAAGTAATTAAAAGCTGAATAGTAACAATGTATTATAAGAAGAGTCATGGAAATGTAGTCTCTCTCTGTCAAAATATCTTATCGTACTGTACTCACCTTTCCTCTCCTTGTGATGATCTCAGATGATAAAAGCCCCATATGATGAGATCATGTGAAGTGAATGACATAGACCATGTGACAATAGGCTACCATTGACCTCCTGATATCGCCAGGAGGAGGATCATCTGCTTTCAGACTGCAGTTGAGCGCAGGTAACAGAAACCATGGCAAGTGAAACCACAGACAAAGGGGGACCTTTGCATTCTTTTTTTTATTTGATTTTTCAGAAGAGTAAAGTATTAGAACAGCAGTGATTTTTTTCTTAATAAGAAGAACTGATCATCATTTTTACATGTTTACTAGAAAAGCAATGATGGGGTTAGATTCATAATCCTATAAAGTAAGAACAACTCATAGCCTCATATTATAGAGGAGCGTAAAGGTTAGATAGTTTAATATTTGGGATTCCAATTCAGGTTCCATTGCTCCAGATCCCACAGTTTAAGCCTGTGGGTTTAAAACATGACTGATGCCTACTTTCACCCTCCAGAGATTCCGACTTAATCGCCTCAAGCGAAGTTCAGGCATTGATTCTAAAAACTCCCCTGGCAATTCTAATTGCAGCTAGAGATGCAAACCGTTGCTTCACATCTTATTACTTCACCACCTTCTGTTTTGGAAGATGTCACCACATCACACTATCTCAATGACTCTCCCTGGAGCTCAATGCAGATGGTGCCCCACGGAGATGTATAGTTTGACAGCTGTACCTCAATGCATATTCATCTCTGAAAAAAAAAAAAACCTTCAATTCCAAGAGTTTTAATAAGTATAATTAATTGGAATCCTTTGTTCATTTGAAGCCAGAATCATATGGTCCTCGAAGTAGAGAAGTCTTAATTCTTACAGTTTTCTTACTATTTTGGAAAACATTTGGCTTCACTTACTCTTGTGAGGATTTCACAGAGCTCCTTACCAACTAAAAGTGGCCTTATCTATTAGAAAACAATAACAAAAACAGGAAAGGGCTAGGACAGAGGTAGGCTAAGAGTTTAGATGGAGTAGACTTTGCTGTGATACTGAGTGGGTATAGTGCCATCCTCAGATGCCATCCAGAAGATTCCTGAATATAGGCAGTGGAAACAGAACCAGAGAAATTAGCTCTTATAGAAAGAGAATGGGCAACTGGAGTCAGGGCCTGACAATTCACTAACTGCGGGAACTTGAGCAAAATTATTAACCTCTCTGAACTTTAGTTTGCTCTTCTGTGAAAGGAGATGGTGATACCTTTTCCTCCGAGGGTTTACATGAACTCTTAAATGTGAAAACACCTAGCTTAGAGCCTCTTTATTGATTTCTCCTCCACAGTGGCTTTGGCTGAAGGGCAGTGGTAGCAAAAGCAGAAAGTGCAAGGAAATGGCAGCCAGTCGTAGTAAGTCAAAGACAATGATGGGACAATGAGGTGGGCTGGACATGGAGCACAGCTGCAAGATTTGAAGCCTCCATTATGGCCATAGTCACTCACAATCAATTCCATTTGTTTGCAAAAAAGGAACCACCATTTTAATTCTGGAGCCTCCTACCCATCGGAAAATAATTCAGCTTGCCCTACTTTCAGAAGGGTCAGCTTGATACTCTGTAGGTTCTCTTCAGAAAGAGCACGGGCTATAGTCATGTCATTTTATAATGCTGCTGCCTGAGTTTTCATTTAATTAAGAAGACTGACCTTTAGAAAGAGTTTATTTTTTTTTCTTCCTCTAGCTTAGCTTGCTATGATCCTAATGGAAGCTGAAAATCTGATGGTAAGAAGTGCCAAGTTTGTACTGATAAGGCTAACACATTGTTCCTATCCTTACAGAGAAATTAAATAAGCATAATTATAGATGCATAAGCCAAAATCACTTTCAGATAAACCCGATCTCAAGTAGATGAGAAGGTGGGAACAGTAGGAAATGAAAGATAAGCCCTAGAGGAATGTATACAAAAAAAACAATCCCATATACCAAAGAACTAAGACCCCATGAACACATATCCTTGTAATTAGCCTCTATCCAAAGCAAATTAAAGTCAAATTCTTACCCAATCCTTTAAACCTCTGGAGATGAAGAAGTGGCTACTTAAAGGCTCTGTTGTGTACAGCATTTGTGGTGCTTCTTAGATAGAATGGCCACACGAACTGGTGAGACAGGAGAACGTGACCTATCAGAGTGACTGCCGTAGGACCATAGCATTGCACACTCTGCATTTGCTAATGGTTGATGATGTCATACCCTATAAGGTTAACAAGAAGATAGGGACCATCAAGCTCTGGTCGAGTCTGGAGAAGACTCTGGCATTTGCACTGCCCTAGATTTATCACAAACTCCAACTAGCCAGCCACTGCTTAGGAGAGCTCCTGAGCTTCTGCCCTGACCCTAAGATCACAGCCCCTGCAGCTCTGTGTGTGTTCTGTTTTTGGTGCCCTTTTTCCTTTCTACTAGAGAATACATTGGTCTTCCTAGAGACTGTTTATCTGGATAGAATGAGATTGTGTTACCCACATAGACTACTTGACTCTCAACCATGTCCTGACTATCTGGTGGCTGAGTGCACAGTCATCATTACACGCACAACCCACACTGATGACAACTCTGTAGGGTGGTGATGGGCTTATGTATGCCCCTGGAGTTAGCAACAACCTGCTTCCCAGCTTCATCCAATTGGTAAGCAACCTTTCTTCAATCAACTATCATTGATTGATTTGCAGATTAAACCAAACAATATGATGTTTACTCAAATTAAGGCTTTGGTCCCAAGATATTCTGGTTTGTGTCTCGCCGACTGTGAGCACTTTTATTTCTGTTCCTTAGTAGTAACAAGTGAGTATTAGATGCAGAGGAGTATTTGTCTCCCTCCTTTTGAAGGTTGTAAAATATTATTCAATACCAAATGGAGCAAAGAGATAAAGAAACAAAATATGAATGGGATCTTTGAATAAATGATGCTAGGTTAAATCCTAAATCACATTATTATACCCCCTAGTTTTTTCTTTTCTTTTTTTTTAAGATTTTTATTTATTTATTCATTCATGAGAGACACAGGGAGTGAGAAAGAGAGGCAAAGACACAGTCAGAGGGAGAAGCAGGCCCCATTCAGGGAACCTGACTCAATTCCGGGTCTCCAGGATCACGCCCTGGGCTGAAGGCGGCGCTAAACCACTGAGCCACCTGGGCTGCCCCCACCCCTAGTTTTTTCTGGCAGCGTTAGTGTAGGTAGTAAATTAGGGTTACTTTCCCAGGTACATCCAGCTGCATGAAAAGAGAGACTATTTCTCATGTTGCTAACTTAATAGCCTTGCTCTGGGTATTTGCAATACCTTAAATGAAGAAAAGGTCAAGAAAGGATGAGGCAATAAGCAGTGCTTGTACTTACAGCATCTCTTTCTACCTTCCCAGGGGCCTTCCCACCCTTGCATATTTTTATCCCAGTGTACATGAATTCATTGCAGGTCATGTAATTTACCACATGCATGAGTGAATTCAAGGAAAGGAGTGTTATAAACAAAATTGCTTCTGTGCACCTATTGGTGTCTATTGCTAGACACACGCTCACACACGAACACATGCATAGGCTCTCATTTTAGCATACCCAGGAAATGAAAGTCATTTTTCAACTTTAAGCTCTAGTACATAATAGATCCCTTCTTACCTCAGCTCATTATATACCTTAAGGGAAATTTGAAGCTAAACAAGCAAACCTTGTAGCATGCTACTCCTTCCAACAGCAGAGTCTAATTTTTATTTATTTATTTATTTATTTATTTATTTATTTATTTATTTATAAAATATTTTTTAATTTATTTATTCATGAGAGACACACAGAGAGGCAGAGACATAGGCAGAGAGAGAAGCAGACTTCCTGCAAGGAGCCTGATGG